ATTAGTGCCTGATATTTTGTCAGGTACATCTAAAACCATTATTTCCAGGCCTGTGAATGGGGTTGCATTTTGTAGGGCTGGTCCCGGGGAAAAGCACGTGCAGCATGAGTTACATGAAAATCATTGAGAACACATTACCATCTCAGAAGTCGGGTTGGATTTTTCTAGAACATTTCCTGGATTCAATTCTGTGTTTGGGAAGGAGCCTTATTTCTCAGGTAAAGTTGGAGATGTGGTCACAAATATACAATAAAAACATTTGGCAAGTTTTATGCAATGCATCTATCCAGAGTAACATGCCAACCTGACGTTTCTTTTGCTGCTTAGTATATTTTGTCTGTAAATGATATATAGGCAGCAATTATCAACAGATTTGGATCCAATTCAGAATGATCCATCATAGGGCTGTACCTATTTATATTGGTGCATGTCCTACCCCCAGGGGCAAAACCATGCCCAATTTTGGTTTACAGGCTGGAATTCAGAATGGATCATCTTGGAACTTGGCATATTTATTCCTGTAAGGATAGAAACTATTTATTTTGGTGCATGTCCTGACCCCTAGGTGTAGTACCCACTTTTTTGTCTGTAAATACTCTACAGGTTGCTATAATTAACAGATTTTGTTTGAATTCAGCATATCATTCATTTCAATAACAGGGTGGTACCTATTTATATTGTTCCAAATCCAACCCCCTGGGGCAGAGCCAGGCCCAATTTTTGTATTTATCATGTACAGGCTGCAATTCTGAATGGATCATCTTGGAACTTTGCATATTTTGCATATTTATTCCTTATACTGTAAAGACATCAACTATTTATTTTGATGCATGCCCCGACCCCCTAAAGCGGTGTCACACCCCTTTCTTGTCAATATTTTGTCTTAAAATTTGGCAAAACAAACCCAACGCCTGGCCTTCTTTGCCTCTTGTCATATTACAGTCATTGCAGCTATTTCATATTTCATTCTCTTCATTTTAAAAGTACCATATCAATGGAAACAGGAATGTGGAGGTATATTTTATAAATACCCAGCAGTCAACAGCCCATTTTGAATATAACCTGGTATATAGAGAGTAAATCCAACAAAAACTGCTTGATAGGCCTAACTGAAAAGACTCGCATTGACCATTTCACATTCATTAAACTTATAAAAACGTGCCACGATGCGTAAATTGTGCATCTTACCTTCAATAGCAATATCCATATTGATAAATAATACAACACAACAAACCAAAGAGTAGTAATTCACACACAAATGATATATTTAAACTAAAATTACTTTAGCCCTTCAGTAAATTTACATAGCTTACAATTGAACAATCCTCATTTCAGAATTTTAACTTATAATGTAGCCATTTTCATGCAATAACAGATCAAAGAAACACATACCCCAACCATATAAGAAAGCCTGCAGTTCCATCTTACAATGAGTTCAATTGATTTAAGGTTTATTTTATAATGTAGTTTAGACTGCAATGCGTTGTCCGAGATATCACCTTACGAATCGCTTTTTGAAATTTCAAGTAAATTCTTATACGGAATTCAGGGTGCAATGATAGACATTTGAACTGATTTGAAATTGAGAATTACTTTCTTTATTGCAAATTTTTTTCTTTAATGTGGGTTGCGTGCTCTGTTTTAGATGTGTATTGTTTTCATATTAGAAAGTTTTAACAACATGTATGGTCTCGTATTTTAAAAAAAATCATCCGAAAATGTAACTGATAAAAATACACATCAATGTTTCAAATATTTTAGAGGTTTTTTTAGTTCCATTTCAAGTGTAGCAAAAATAAATTAACGATTAGTTTCTAAATTAATTATGGTGCTGAAATACATCAACTATTTACATATCACTAGTCAAATTAATGGTAATTGTTCTCTGATATTGAGGTCAACCGTTTATCAATAACGATGAGAGAAAACTCTTCGAAACTTGAAATGTAAGTTTATAACCCAAAGATCTCGGTTCCTTTCGATATTTGCGCATATCGGACCGTAACTTCCTGAATTATGGCCCCTGATTGTACGAAAAATCGCGTTTTCAGTTTGTGGACCCTATAGAGGTCATAATTTTTATCAGATTTAAAAAAACGTATTATATCACCGTTACACCCTAAGGACGGCTGAATTCGAATTTCGTGAAAATCGGCCCAAAACTGACAGACAAAATGGCCGCCTTTTGTTCTCAAATAGCGTAAAAATATGGTATATCAAAGCTGTGGACCCTATAGAGGTCACAATTTTAATCTGATTTTGTTGAAACTTGAAATGTAAGTTTATAACCCAAAGATATATAGAGGATATTTGTCGTTTTAGAGTGAATAACATATTTTATTTCATTGAGAAGCAAGAAATATAAATGTTTTCTTGCTTAGAGATGAAATAAAATATGTTATTCACGACAAAACGACAAATGTTCTATTTATTTTATAATTTTACAATCATTTTAGGTAAAAACAACTAGCCAGTGAAATAACACTTTTATTTCACTGATAAAACGCGGTATTCCACTACTGATCATAAAATAAAACAGAATATTATACATTGTAAATTGAGACCAGTAATACCTATAGTCAGACACTTATCTCCAAGCTTGTTTCAATATAATTAAATGTTTTCATTGTTTTAATCTTTTACAAACAGAAGTTTTATTGCATAGTTGTTTTAAGGATTTGGTATTTAATTAAGCTCCTTCTACAGCTTTACGTATTGTCTTATAATTAACATATTTTTGTCCCCCACCTTTCAAAGAAAGCAGGGGACTATTAAAATGGGTTTGTCAGTCTGTCTGTCCATCCATCTGTCCATCCATCTGTACCTGTCCGTCACACTTTTTGGGACACAATAACTCTCTTTCTAACTGAGCTAGAATGTTCAAACTTGGTGTAGGTGTTTATTAGGTCAATGCCTTGATGGAGTTTGAAGATGAGCATTTTATGCTTAGGGTAAGTAGAGATAAGCAATTTGATTGGTTGATGCTTTGGGACACGATAATTTTAGTTCTAATTAAGTCAGAGTGATGAAACTTGGTGTATAGTTTCATTACATCAATACCTTGATTAAGTTTGATAATGAGCATTTTCTGTTCAGGGTAAGCCGAGCAATAAGCAATTTGATTGGCCGAGACTTTGGAACACAATAACTCTCCTTCTAATTGAGCTAGAATGTTCAAACTTGGTGTAGGTGTTTATTAGGTCAGTGTCTTGATGAAGTCCGAACATGAGCATTTTTTGCTTAGGGTAAGTAGAGATAAGCAATTTGATTGGTTGATGCTTTGGGACATGATAACTTTAGTTCTAATTAAGTGAGAGTGATGAAACTTGGTGTATATTTTCTTTACATCAATACCTTGACAAAGTGAGAGTGAGGATGGTGTATATTAGCTTTTTTTTTACATCAATACCTTGACTAAGTTCGATAATGAACATTTTCTGCTGAGGGTAAGCAGAGCGATAAGCAATTTGCTTGGTCGAGACTTTGGAACACAATAACTCTCCTTCTATTTAAGGGAGAATGTTCAAACTTGGTATAGGCGTTCATTAGGTAAATGCCTTGATGGAGTTCGATGATGCTTTGGGGCACGATAACTTTAGTTATAATGATGTGAGCACGATGAAACTCTGAATATAGATTCATTATATTATTACCTTGACTAAGGTCGATGGTGCGAATTTTCTGCTTAGGCTAAGCAGCGATAAGCAATTTGATTGGTCAAGACTTTGGAACATAACAACTCTGCTTTTAATTGAGGTAGAATGTTTAAACTTGATGTAGATGTTCATTAGGTGAACGTCTTGACTGAGTTCAATGATTAACATTTCGAGCTAAAGCTAAGCAGAGCTAATCAGTTTCATTGGTTGATGCTTTGGGGCAAGATAATCTTGATTATATCTGATGAAACCTAGTGTATAGTTTGATTGCTCAATGCTTTTGAAAAAAATAAATGTGCGATTAATTAATATATGCTATCTATTTTTGGGGGGATTTCGGCGGGGGACAACAGCCTCACTGTTGGCTTGTTTTATCTGGATTATCGCCCTTTCTATTGTGCTGTCTTTCGACAGTCTACATTTTCTCATTGGCTTGTTTGTATTCAGTATTGTTTGTTTTTTGCTCTGTTTTTTGATGGTTGGAACATTTACCCTACTGTGTTCAATATTCCTCGATTCTATTGAATACTAAAACATTTCTTAATTGACTTTGAACATTTTGTTTTTAGACTACTTGGTTTTTTATGCATTTCACCTATGTGGTTACTTGTATAGTTAAATTTTACTACAATATGCTTACATTCATATTTCTTGTAACATATAGCAGATCATGACTCGTGCTGACATTACACAATGGTTTCTCTGGGTTTTATTCCTGATTCTTTTCAAATTTAAGTGAAGTCTGTGTCACTACAGGCCCGGGACTGTACAGTACAGTGGACGCTTACGGCTAGCCCCCGGATCCATTCACTTTATTTGAATTGTGTGGTGGTTTGTGATTTCTGCGTAATATGTCTTGTCCGTATATTTGTTTTTGTGTAAATTATGTGTGGTGCAGTCCCCCTGCAAGTCATATAAATTAAACCCAATTTTCATATAGAGGACATATATTATTCTATCATAGAGAACGCACATTGTCTTGTTCATTACGTTTAGTTGTAAATTTATTTTAATGTTGTTGCTGGTCAATTAAATTCATATCCAGATTTTATGGATGTAACCAACTAGGTTACAATACAAGATTAGTGCACTAGTATCCTGTATGTAGAGTCAAAAAATAGGTAAAAATATTGTCATCTTTTTGTCAAGGTTGATTGATAGTTGATAATCAGTTTGATTGCTCGATACTTTTGCAAAAGATAAACGTGCAATTACTTAATATGTGTCATCTATTTATTTCTGGATTTTGGCTTGATTTCTATGAGCTGTATTTTGTAGCGTTGCTTGATACTGGATTGGTTAATTTAGGGTACTGTTTATCAATTAAGCTTTCATGAATTCCAGACAGAAGTTAACAAGTCAAATTTCAAACTGACCGATTTACAAACATCTATTGAACTGACCTTCAATAATAAAGGTAGGTGCTATATTATAACATCTTCATGTACACTAACTACATTTTTTTGCTACAGAGTGGTTAATAACTGAGTAATCCATCATTTTGCAAACTTTCCAAACCTTTTGGGGTGGCCTGGTGGTGGTTGGATGGTCGAATGGTTAGTGCGTGCGCATTGTATCCAAGCCCTTTGGGGTGGGTGGTGGTGGTGGTGGTGGTTGGATGGCCGAATGGTTAGCGTGTGCGCGTTGTATCATAAGGTCTGTCATTGAGTCAACTGGTGTGGGTTCGATACCCCAGTTGTATGTGACAAGTAGTAAGGTCGCCTGTTCCACCTCGTGGGTTTTCTCCAGGTCCTCCAGTTTCTTTCCACTGCTAAAGACCCCTAGTGCAAGCGAATTATTGAAATAAAATTAAATGAAATGAAATGGGGTTTAACGTCCTACTGTTCTGCTTATTGAAATAAAATTGAACCATATGTTAGTTCCAAAATAACCTAGTTTGTGTCGAGTAGACATTAAACCCCATCTCTCTCTCTGGCGGCCATTTTCCCTTTTCTGATTTTTGCCAATTTTGGATATTTTATGTGTAAAGTCATATTGAACACAATTCTATTAAAGTGGACACCACTAAATATAAATACTCCTCAGTGATAAAATTGATAGATAATATTGTGTGATTAGTTAACTGTTCTAACTGTTAATTCTAGGAAGGAATGGAGCATTGAAAAATGCTATTTATAAATATGTATGTCTCCATGCTGCCAAACATTCAGAAGTACCAGTAGATCACTTAAAAGATCCTATTTCATATGTATTTAAAGCACAGGTGAGTTTATTTTTTACACTTACCACACTTTAAAGGGAAACTCTACTGAAACTGAACCAAAAATTATTCTTAAGATCATATTACGTCAGATAACCCCACTTAGCCCACTTTTCAATGTGGATCAAAACAGATTTTTATACACCCACATTTCAGTGTGGGTTTATTATGTCATTACCCATGTCCATTGGTCTGTCCATCAACAGGAGGGTTGGATGGCTGAATGGTTAGCGTGCGCGCGCTGTATCATAAAGTCTGTCATTGAGTCGACTGGCGTGGTTTCGAATCCCTGGTTGTACGTGACAAGGAGTAGGGTCGCCTGTCCAACCTCGTGGGTTTTCTGCGGGTCCTCCGGTTTCCTCCCACTGCTAAAGACCCCTATGCGCAAGCGAATTATTGAAATAAAATTAAACCATATGTTAGTCCCGAAATGACTTAGTTGTGTCGAGTGGACGTTAAACCCCATCTCTCTCTCTCTCTCTCTCTGTCCATCAACAATTGGTGTGTTAACACGATAGTTGTGAAGCATTGGGGTCAGTAGAAATGAAATGAAATGCGTTTTAACGTGTTACTGTTATGCACCGACTGGCTAGGCCAACCCTATAAATTTCCCACTCTCTGTGACTTTCTTTCCAAAGTTAACCCATTTTTTCTGAAAACCTTGGTACGAAGCATTGTGGTCATGGAGAATGAACCATATCAAAATTTAGCTTGCCTCGACCTTTACCAGAATGAACCCTATTGATTTCCAGCTTTTCATGACTTTCCATTACAGAGTTATCCCCCCCCTTTGCCCAAAAAAACCCTTGTGAACATGATAGAGGCTGTAGTTTGCAACGGATTTCTTTCAAATTTTTTGGCGAAGCATTTGGGTCATGAGAGGAGAAACCCTATCAAAATTAAGCAAGCTGCGACTTTCTGTTCCGGAGTCATCCCCACTTTTGAAATTGATAGAGACTATAGCGTTTATACACCTAAATGGAAATGTGACAAATTTCCAATCAATAGAAACAGGTAACACAAACCAATTTAAGACTAATTTTGATGCATTTGATATTCAGATAAGTTGATATGGTGGTCGTATCACTTTAAAATGTATAGTATGGAGAATGGATCCTACATTATGCGCGGGAATCAATAAGGAGATAAAGACAAAATAAGTAAAAATATTGATTTTGAACGAAATTGAGATTTTCACAAAAATGAGTCTATAAATATACTATCCATCGACACAGAAAATCAAAATAGCAATAAAACATTTTAAAACACCTGTATTTGAACGTTTTGTAAGAGTACCGTATTCTTAAATCTGTCCTATTTCTTAAAATTCGCGGCGAAATTAGTTATTTTTCTTCGCTCGCAGTGGGACGACTGGTCATTCCTCTTGCATAACAATTGCTATCGTTGTAAAGCGGGGCATCTCTAGTTTATAAATATGATCAAAATATTGTCGATGAATTGATTTTGAACGGATACAATCGAGTTTTAAAACACTTCAAAAATATAAATAAACTCTGCCTGTTGCCATGCTGTCCACACAACTCCTTTGCTGATTGGCCCAGTCAACGCGTGCAAATATTTGGTTTTGGCAATATTTTTGGGTACCTACATGCGATTCACTCTGACAAGTGGCAGAAAGAAAAAAATTAATTCTGATCGTATAGATTGCCGTTGAGTGTTAATCAAAACTACGCGGCTGATGATGTAAATTAATCGACAAGCGGGCGTGTGTCATTGAGTAATACTATTACTAATCAACTGTCACGGGTCAATGATAAAATCGTCGACAACTCATTATTTACAAGGAATAATTACTCCAAGTGGTGATTGTTTGGTATCTCATATCATCTTTAAAAAAAATAATCTATAGGCCTTAAATGGAAATAAACAAATGGCCAATAATGTTCTTTTCGAAAAGAATTTTATTGATAGCTGAATTCCGTTTACCGTCGCTTCTTCATACGGCATGAAAAGTAAGGAATGCATTTGGGATATGATTGTTTAAAATTCTCTTATCACAATGGGTCGAAAAATGAGAACGACCAACGAGCCGAAATGCGACAATTCTCGAGTCTGCCATTGAGTATCCTCTGAATAATGTTGATATTTACATCAAAGCCAAAAATGCACGAAAGTGAACGTAATCATTGACTATGAAATTGACATTTCTATAGGGACTCATATTTTGATAACGTCACGGTACCTGAAAATAATAATAGACCTATCGTACACGCAAAATCTTACTTTAATTCACGTGTTAAATGAACACGCGTACAGCTGTTGTGGCTTCTTTGATGATTATCCAATCAACAATCTGGCACTAAGGTGCTAATTAATTGATGAGATTAAGAATAAGTTAATCTCACTAAAGTTATATTATAAACAACAGACTACTAATTTATAGTTTGTTCTTCAGTATAACACTATCATGTGAATATTATACCGTATGTGTTGTGGATGTTTCGTTACGAAAGGAGTGCATTTATTACGATTTTCGTCGTCAGCACCCTTGAAATCCTAAATAAAAAACATATTAAACGACAAAATATAGCAAATAAATTGTGGAAATAGTCGGATCAAATTTTTACTAAGATTTTCGTCTTCAGCACCCCTGAAAACCCATGGAAATATATATTCAACGACAAAACAGCAGATAAATGGCCTGGTTGCTATGGGATTTGGGGGGTTGGATGGCTTAGTGGTTAGTACGTGCGCGCTGTATCATTTAGTCTGTCATTGATTCAACTGGCGTGCTTTCGAATCCCCGGTTGTACGTGACAAGGAGTAGGGTCGCCTGTCCAACCTCGTGGGTTTTCTTCGGGTTCTTCGGGTCCTCCGGTTTCCTCCCACTGCTAAAGACTCCTACGCCCAAGCGAATTATTGAGTTAAAATTAAACCACATGTTAGTCCCGAAATGACCTAGTTTGTGTCGAGTGGACGTTAAACCCCATTTCTCTCTCTCTCTCCCGCTATGGGATTTTGTTTTGGAACATACCAAATCTTTGACTTGCTTTTTCTCAAAACTTACTTTTGTGAGTTGGATAGCTTCTAATGGACACAGCTCAGTCAATTTTTGCCCAATTCAAACAAAAAATACATCAAATTGAAGGTAATGAGTTGGAGAATGTGAAAATAATAATAACTCAATTTTCAAAATTTCCTCATTGTGACTCAGTATGCTGTGGGGTGTCACATTTATTAACTGGGTTAGTTTGTGAAAATTCATAATATCCTGTAGAAATTGTATACTTTGTTTACTATCGAGACGAGTGCAGGAGAAATTGGCAAAAATGTGACTAATTAAGAAAACGTCACTATTAAGACTGTACTTGAATTAGGGGAAATGTTTTTAAACTGAACAGAAGAATTTATGCCAGTGCCCCTTAATGAGGGCTTATGTCGACTTTGCAACTCAAAGCAGCTAATTCCAGTCACTAGCAAGAGTGCTTATATCGATCATATCAGCAACTGAGGACAACTGAGGGCAACAGAATTTATTCATCACATGATCAACTAAATGACGAATATCTTAGAAGAACCCCAAAGACATAGGTATCAAATTTATAGAGTTTTGTCGGAGCATTATATCAAGTCATCGAAATTTGTTTTCCCTTCTATTTTATAGTTCGAAACATTTGTGATCACATAACAATCATAATTAAAATTTCTTCATAAAATTTCCCAGGGCCCTATTTTAGAAAGTGAGCATGTTTATAAAATACTAAATTATAACAGTAAACATTAATTAAAACTAAATCTTGCGTCGCTGAATTATTGACCTATTTACAAGTTCAACCGTCCCTCAATGACTTTATAATATTGAAATGTTTTGACCCAGGCATTTCATGTGTCATCTTTATGTATATAAAAGAAATAAATTTTTGTATAGAAAACCATCTAGTATCATTGTTTTTATACGCCCACATTTTTATGTGGACGTATATTGTCGTCGCCCTTGTCCGTCCACAATTGTTTGTGAACAGTCTACAGGTCACAATTTTTATCCGATTCAATGAAACTTGAAATATAGGTTTATCACTGTAGAGGTCACAATTTTTATCCGATTTGGTTTAAACTTGAAATGTATGCTTATAACCTAAAGATCTCGGTTCCTTTCGCTATTCATGCATATGGCCCCTGATTGTACGAAAAATCATGTTTTTAGCTTGTGGACCCTATAGAGGTCATAATTTTTATCCGATTTAAAAAACACTATTATTATATCACTGTTACACCCTAAGGACGACTGAGTTCGAATTTCGTGAAAATCGGCCCAAAACTGACAGACAAAATGGCCGCCGTTCATTCTCAAATAGCGTAAAAATATGGTATAACAAGGTTGTGGACCCTATAGAGGTCACAATTTTTATCCGATTTTGTTGAAACTTGAAATGTTAGTTTATAACCCAAAGATCTCGGTTCTTTTTGATATTCGCTCATATCAGACCGTAACTTCCTGAATTATGGCCCCTGATTGTACGAAAAATCACGTTTTTATCTTGTGGACCCTATAGAGGTCATAATTTTTATCCGATTTAAAAAAACGTATTATTATATCACCCTTAAACCCTAAGGACGGCTGAGTTCGAATTTTGTGAAAATCGGCCCAAAACTGACAGACAAAATGGCCGCCCTTCGTTCTCAAATAGCGTAAAAATATGGTATATCAAGGTTGTGGACCCTATAGAGGTCACAATTTTTATTCGATTTTGTTGAAACTTAAAATGTAAGTTTATAACCCAAAGTTCTTGGTTCCTTTTGATATTCGCGCATATCGGACTGTAACTTCCTGAATTATGGCCCCTGATTGTATGAAAAATCATGCTTTTAGCTTGTGGTCCCTCTAGAGGTCACAATTTTTATCCGATTTAAAAAAACGTTTTAATATATCACTGTTACACCCTAATGATGGTTGAGTATGAATTTCATGAAAATCGGACCAAAACTGCTGTAAAAATGGCTGCCCCTTATACGCAAATAGTGTAAAATATGGTATATCAAGGTTGTGGACCCTCTGGAGGTCACAATTTTCATCCGATTTTGATGAAACTTGAAATGCATGTTTATTTCCCAAAGATCTTGGTTCCTTTTCCAAAGATCTTGGTTCCTTTCTCAAAGATCTTAGTTCCTTTCGATATTCGAACATAACTTCCTGAATTATGGCACCTGATTGTACGAAAAATCGCGTTTTTAGCTTGTGGTCCCTCTAGAGGTCACAATGATTATCTGATTTAAAAAAAAGTTCGAACATATCACCGTTACACAGTATTATTGGTTGAGTTCTAATTTCATGAAAATTGGACCAAAACTGACAGACAATAGGTCGTAAAGCTTTATACACTATTTTAAAAACATGTAGCAAGAATTATTTTAACATTGAAACCAAAATCTCTGTATTTGATAGATACGCCAATCCACACATGTTATTAGAAAAGTTAGAATATTCAAATACTTTATTAAGTTAGCTTCAACTACAATTGTATTGTTAAAATCAAGTTTAAATGAATTAATCTATACTAATATTTGTGACTGGCGTTTTTCTGTCTGTTTGTCTGTCTGTTCGGGGTTGGCGGCTACACTAGGTCTGCCCCGAGTCTGAAATTTGGGGTTTAGGGGTAGCTCGGACCGGGGAGTAACATAGGCCAGGTGGCGTTAGTCTATCACTTCTGGTTTCGGGGTTATGACCCCCGAGCGAAGCCGGGCATTCTTCTAGTAAATAATAATTGTACCTGGATTTGAAATATGAAAAATGAATTATATAATATAATATAATACAATCTTGTATTTTTAACTGTCACACCATAATGATGATTGAGATAGAATTTTGTGAAAATTGGACCAAAACTGCTGGACAAAATGGCCGCCCCTCGTATGCAAATAGTGTAAAAATATGGTATATCAAGTTTGTGAAACTTTAATGAAACTTGAAATACATGTTATAACCCACAGATCTTGGTTCTTTTTGATATATGCACGTATTGTATCGTAACTACCTGAATTATGGCCCCTGATTGTACGAAAAATCACGTTTTTTGTTTGTGGTCTTTCTAGAAGTCACAATTATAATCTGATTATGCCCGTCGTCATTAACCTAGTCGGAGCAGAACAGTAGGACATTAAACCCCATTTCATTTCCTTTATATATGTCTTGTCTGTTTTGTTTTCTCGCACTTACTATATGAGCTGCGAGGTAAACTTAGCTGATGTGGACAAATATGTTTATATGACTTGAAAACTTTTTTTTTGTTTATTGTAGCAATCATGGGAAAAAAAAATAATGAAAAGTTTAAATAGCATGTGTACTGAATTAAATGTACCACTTGCAAGACAGGTTAGTATACTATCAAAATATGTAAATGTGCTTTTTATTATGCAACAGCTTTTATTGTGGACATATATTGTCGTTTCACCCTGTTTTTATTCATAAAATATTTGAACTAGATTCAGTTATTTGCATTGTTAACAAAGTTTTCTAGCGCATTATTTTTATACGCCCACATTTTCATGTGGACGTATTATGCCGTCGCCCCTGTCCGTCCGTCCGTCCGTCCACAATTGTTTGTGGACTCTCTACAGGTCACAATTCTTATCCGATTTTGACGAAACTTGAAATATAGGTTTATCCCCAAAAGATCTCGGCTGCTTTCGATATTGGCACGTATCGGACCGACACTTCATGGATTATGGCCCCTGATTGTACGAAAAATCACGTTTTTAGCTTGTGGACCCTATCGAGGTCACAATTTTTATCCGACTTATTTGAAACTTGAAATGTAAGTTTATAACCTAAAGATATCGGTTCCTTTCGATATTCGCGCATATCGGACCGTAACTTTCTGAATTATGGCCCCTGATTGTACGAAAAATTGCGTTTTTAGCTTGTGGACCCTATAGAGGTCATAATTTTTATCCGATTTAAAAAAACGTATTAGTATATCACCGCTACACCCTAAGGATGGCTGAGTTCGAATTTTGTGAAAATCGGCCCAAAATTGACAGACAAAATGGCCGCCGTTCGTTCTCAAATAGCGTAAAAATATGGTATATCAAGGTTGTGGACCCTATAGAGGTCACAATTTTTATCCGATTTTGTTGAAACTTGAAATGTAAGTTTATGAACTAAAGATCTCGGTTCCTTTCGATATTTGTGCATATCAGACCGTAACTTCCTGAATTATGGCCCCTGATTGTACGAAAAATCGCGTTTTTAGCTTGTGGACCCTATAGAGGTCATAATTTTTATCCGATTTAAAAAACCGTATTAATACATCACCGTTACACCGTAAGGAAGGTTGAGTTCGAATTTCGCGAAAATCGGCCCAAAATTGACAGACAAAATGGCCGCCGTTCGTTCTCAAATAGCGTAAAAATATGGTATATCAAGGTTGTGGAACCCAATAGAGGTCACAATTTTTATCCGATTTTGTTGAAACATGAAATGTTTGTTTATAACCCAAAGATCGCGGTTACTTTCGATATTTGCGTATATAAGACCGTAGCTTCCTGAATTATGGCCCCTGTTTGTACGAAAAATCGCATTTTTAGCTTGTGGACCTTATAGAGGTCATAATAATTTATCCGATTTAAAAAAACATATTATTATATCACTGTTACACCCTAAGGACGGCTGAGTTCGAATTTCGTGAAAATCGGCCCAAAACTGACAGACAAAATGGTCGCCCTTCGTTCTCAAATAGCGTAAAAATATGGTATATCAAGGTTGTGGACCCTATAGAAGTCACAATTTTTATCCGATTTTGTTGAAACTTGAAATGTAAGTTTATAACACAAAGATCTTTGTTCCTTTTGATATTTGCGCATATCGAATTGTAATTTCCTGAATTATGGCCCTTGATTGTAGGAAAAATCACTTTCTTCTTAGCTTGTTCTCTATCCATCTCTCGAAAATGTGGGCGTATCCTGCCTGGCAGCCGCTGGTTTTGCATATGATTTTATGTGTGTGGCCATATATCCTTAAGATCTCGAATTTGAACAAGAATTTATTAAAATCACATACACCTGTAACATGGAAAATCTCTTTAAAAAAATCACATTAAAGTGTGATGTTACAGGCGTCTGTGATTGCATTTTTATACATCCACATTTTAGTCTGAAACAGGTAACACAAACCAATTACAGACGGATTAATGGGATCAATTTGATGCATTTGATGTTCAGATAAGTTGATATGCAATAATTAATAGAATAGTGATGCAGGACGGAGGGCCCGACATGGACAGCTGTCTAGTCGTTCCGATGGGATGAATAACTGAGGTCCCGTGTACACATTCACTTGCACGTAAAAGATCCCTTGACAGTTGGAATTCATTATAAGAGTAGGCCGTAGTGCAACATCTTAGTAATTCACCACTGAGTGTTGTGCAGTGTTTCCAAGTGGCGTTGTAAGGGGTCTTTATGACATTACGTCGACAAATTTTCCTTTCTGATGGCTTGTTAGCCATTTCATTTGAATAGCAAAAGTGCAGACAATTGCTGCAATAGAAATGACGGCCACGATTTATGGTCGGTCTAGAGTATATTATCACCAAAAAAAGTCCCAGTCCGAAATCAATGCCAAAATGTGTCAAATTGGCCAAAATTCAAAATGGCCGCCGGTTTTGACTGGAAAATGTCAATTTGTATTCAATTATCAAAATATGATCGAGCTTGGTATCAAAATATATCCTTTCAGGGTAGCTGAATCTATTTCTATACACATATTGGTGAATAATTATATTGGGAAATTCGAATTTTACAAAATGCCCGCATTTGATATCAAAATATACTTTTTGGAGGCAGCTCATTCCATTTTCGACTCATTTTCTCATTTTGGTAATTAACTGGTTCCCGTGGGTCAAAAAATGTAGAAATCTCATTGGAGATTTTGGGATTAAGAGAGGTTGAGTCTGCCTCAGATCTAATACTATTGCGTTCATCAAGCATCAACTAAATTTCATTTAGACTCTCTGGCCGACCACTGCTCATTGCGGATGCAGCGTAGCACTAATGATGAAAGGGGCTTCTCTCAGCTCACTGTGTCCAATTTTGATCACCAACATCGACAGTGGAACCAAAATGACCAAACCTATTGAAGCACACAGCGATTTCATTTCACAAATTGATTCAAATAATGCGACACATATGGATCCCGATATGCAGTGAACTATTTGATAAGGAACTGACTATCGCCATTCCGAAAACAACGGAAAGATAACGGGTATTGGAGGCCGACAATAATGAGCCGATTAAGATCCCTAACCGAAGTTCAATAATGAGCGGAGATAACAATTTCAATGGCAGAAAATTTAGGACATAATAAAACTTGGTGTAAAGTCATGACTTAGTTCAATAATGAGCCATGGACATGCTAGGACCTCCGAATGAGGGTAGACAGACCAAAGTTAGGGCACTTTAGGAGAGGGGGCAGATCAGGAAAATTTGAGTTCTGTGGCACATGGTCAAATCGATTTGGTGTCTATGTGAGCCATGACATACCATACATTGACACTTGGTAATGGGATTATGATTAAGTCCTAAAGATATGAACGTGAACATAGTTAGCTGCAATCAAGAACTAAACGACCTGTAGGTAAAGAAAAACAAGTATCAACAGGGACTGGCATTCCTTACAAAGGGTACCTGCCAAGTTTCATTCGATTCTATTCCCTAATGAGGGGAGGGGTAGGGCTAGAATTGAAATGACTGACAACCCCAAGAACGAGAAGATGATCAAGTTACTGGTTACAGATTAGCGTTCATGGTCACGGTTAGCGTATTGACCTTGAGTGTGCTAACTGGAAAACATGTTCCTGTCGCCTGTGTTGCAATTTTCCTGTATTCATTCAGACAAATAAATAAAACTAAGACAAATTAATTGATTCTGAATATTATGGAAATATTATTCTGGCTGTGAAATCTATTCTGGAAGTCATCTGTGGAAATCATGAAAAACGGACATATTCTGTAGTTACAATGAGTGTGATTGGTTTTTAGTATCTCTGGATGTGGTTGGAACAAGGGAAAGGCAGCAGAAAAAGAGGCCACAATGTTTTCTTTAGAGTGGGCATTTCCTTGAGTATTTAAGGTAACTTTGTCGAAATTCGAGGGCACATTTCAAAATGGGGGGGATGGGCGGCATATAGCCACCCACGCTCACTACACTATACCCTGGTAGGAAATCTCATCGGATTCGAGCGTTATCAACAATTTCCAGTTTCTTTTGTTTTTGCATTTATGAGAGCCTGCCTCTGCAATGAGATTTTTTGCTTAGGTTACACAGAGTGATGAACAATTTCAATGCTAGATGCTTTATATATATGTTAGGTGTGCAAGTAATTAATGAGTGTCATCTATTTAGGGACACCAGATGACACTAGATTAATGTCCAGTCGTCAAATGTCCGGTCTTGGCATGTCCAAAAAATAGGCTTGTAGCAGCGGTCACTGGTTATATCTGTTGTAATGGGCCGTCTGTTAGTCTTTCTTACAGACCATGTAAAAGACCACGGTGTGCAAAAATTAATTTTGGTACCTCGGACCGTCTAGACCTTGATATAGGCTCTTCCACTTCAATAGCATTACAACATTGTGCAATAGTGAAAGTTGCGACATTCCACATTGTATTTTTCGGGGGGGGTTGGATGGCTGAATGGTTAGCGTGAGCGCGCTGTATCATAAAGTCTGTCATTGAGTCGACTGGCGTGGTTTCAAATCCCCGGTTGTACGTGACAAGGAGTAGGGTCACCTGTCCAACCTCATGGGTTTTCTCCGGGTCCTCCGGTTTCCTCCCACTGCTAAAGACCCCTATGCACAAGCGAATGATTTAAATAAAGTAAACCATATGTTGGTACCGAAATGACCTAGTTTGTGTCTAGTGGACGTTAAAGCCCATTCCTCTCTCTCTCACATTGTATTTTTCACCGAGCTTGAAATCACGACCATAATTTTTCAGCTTAGCCGCCGTATTGACGCTCCCAATACCCATTATTTCCAAAATAATGTTGGGCAGATCATTATCAAATGGTTCACTGCATATGTGACAAACCGGCGATACTGTATCCATCGTGTCTCAACATTTGATTTTTGTGAATTAAATTAGCAACGTGCTTCAAAAGGCATGATTAGCTTCTGCAGTGACCTGGGAGTGTCCCCAGTCGACATACCCATACTCAATGAATGTCATTGTATTAGCTTTAAGGTAGGAATATTATTAACCTCCATTCCCTAATCTGTAATCTAAATCCCTAATTGGAATCACTTAATCACTAAAATATGTACAAAAATGGGTTCAGCTACCTCGAAAAGGTATATTTTGACAGCAAACCCGATCCTTATGTAAAATTCAATCTTGAATAACTCCCAATATTTATCACAAAAGTATGTATGGAAATGGATTCAGTTACCCCGAAAACATATATTTTGATACCAAACTTAATCATATTATGATAATTGGGTGGAAATTGGAATTCACCAGACAAAAACGGTGGCCATTTTGAATTTTGGCCAATTTGACTGATTTTGACACGGATTTCAGACTTTGACTTTTTTGGGTGATGATCGTCGTTTCTATTGCAGCAATCGCCCGCATTTATGCTATCCATCCATCTACAACCTCGAACGAAATGGCTAACAAACCATCAAAAATGTACAATTTTTGTCATGACGTCATAACGACCCCTTATGACGCCATGACATCACATTGAAACACTGCACAACACTCAGAGTGATGAATTACTAAGATATTGGTTTTATAATAGCATTGTTTTACACCTAAGACTTATACAAAAACAGCATTTATAGAATATGAGCAGAAAAAAGGGATTTTGGTCAAATGGCGGCCATTTTGTTTGACGTCATATTTAGACCCTTGGCCGTAGCTCAATTTCAGACAACTTTTGATATGTTGTTGTCTAGACCATATACTACAGGAAACAACCATAAAACGTTTTCTTGCAATTTTTTTGAGGTTGGCTCATTTTTTTCATTACTTTGACCCTACTAAAAGCGAGCATGACATCTCTTGATGCTTATTTTGCTACAGTACTATTGAGATTCAGTTGCATTAAAAGGATACTTTATTGTAAAACCAATTTTCAAATGTGAAATTTTTTTCTTAGTTTAGTTTTTATTTTTATGAACTTTCTTTCCCTTTAAAACGAATAATTAGCGTTAAGAATACATGATTACGTGCACATTATGTATAAATATCGAGATTTCAAATAGATCTAAGCAGAACTTGGTAAAAAAAGTTCAAAAACTGATATGATAGCATCTTTTTATGCTTCCTTTTTCTGTCCCCTTTATTTCAATTGCATAGTAACCCACAATTGTTTGTCTGATTAAAATAAAACATAAAACATATGATGAAGATTAAACAAACTTTCCTTTCCACAAATATCCCCCCCCCCCCCATTGCTAGGATGACCCACCATAAATAAATATCTCCAAATATCTCAACAATTACACCACAATATTTATATATATACCAAAGCTTAAATCAGTTTAGCACATTTATAGTCACTAAATACACGGTCATGTTGTACTTAATAAGCTATGCCCATTTAACCATCCATAAATAATAAACTGAAAGATGGTTATGAGTGTCGGCCATAACATCTGGGCACTTTTGAGCAAAAATAGGTTACGTGCACTTGTTTTGAAATTAATCTCGCTTAACCAGTCTACCGACCATTCTACGTCTGATTGACAGGCTGGGATAATCTAGACTACTTTTTTTACGAAACATAACAGAAAGCTGGAACAAGAAATTGAATTTAGAAACATGCATGTTAGGCAACTCAACAATTGTTTTAAGAACCTTGTAAAACTAAAATGAAACTACTGCTAGTATCATGTTCTTGCCTAACGCAAGTGTTTCAGAGATATTATTTGTACTAAACCAAAAGATGCCGCTCCTAATGGTACAGTTAATGATAAAGCAATTTAAAAAATAAAACGAACGTAATTTCTAAAGCTGCTGTAATAACCAAAAAGCTAAATATTACTGCTATTCAGAATCGTCAACCATAGATTTTTTACGGCTGTAATAGTTGATAGATGTGTAGAAAATTGCTGCACGTGCAACGGCTATTTATAGTCTCATAGACTCTAGCGCTGAATATTATCATACTGTGTAGTTAGTGAGAAATCACTTCGAGACAAGCCACTGAAGCGTGCACATTCGCCGTGTCAAGTCCATCTTTCTGTAGGGAAAATTTTCACTGCACGGGTCATTCTACCATTGCTGAAAACCTTATGCACACGATAAATGCTATGTTTTTTTAACAGATTTTTTTCAAATTTGGTTTGAAGCATTTGTGTTGAGGACAGACCCTATCGACAATCAGCATTTTGTATGGCCCTTTCTCTGGAGTTAAGCCTCTTTAATAGAAGATTTTGTGAATGCGATAGGGTCTGATCGTCGGAATGTCTTGACAGAGTTTGAAGATGAGCATATTCGGCTTAGGCTAAGCAGAGATAAGGAATTTGATTGGATGATGCTTTGGGATACAATAATCTTGGTTCTGATTAAATGAGAGTGGGGAAACTTGGTGTATAGTTTCATAAAATCAATACGCTCTAACGCCAAAAGTTATCATCCAATTGTTTTAAAATTGATATATGTTATTTACATTAGTGAGATGAAGAAGCCTATTTAATTTCAATAATTTCCGTGTATAACATCTAGAGTTATGGCCCCTGTTTCACTTTGTTGAACCTTGTGAACGCTCTAACGCCAAAAGTTATCATCCAATTGTTTTAAAATCGATATGTGTTGTTTACATTAGTGAGATGAAGAAGCCTATTTAATTTCAATAATTTCCGTTTATAACGTCTAGAGTTATGGCCCCTGTTTCGCTTTGTTGAACCTTGTGAACGCTGTAATGCCAAAAGTTAACATCCGATCTTTGTGAAATTTATATGAAATATTTAAATTAGGGAAATGAAGAGGCCTATTGAATTTCAGCAATTTCCGTTTATTACTTCTAGAGTTATGGCCCTTGTTTCACTTTGTTTAACCTTGTGAACGCTTTAACCCCAAAAGTTATCATCCTATCTTTCTGAAATTTATATGCATTATTTAAATTAGTGAAACGAAGAAGCCTATTTAATTTCAATAATTTCCTTTTATAACGTCTAGAGTTATGGCCCTTGTTTCACTTTGTTGAACCTTGTGAATGCTCTAATGCCAAAAGTTAACATCCGATCTTTGTGAAATTTATATGCAATATTTAGATAAGTGAGACGAAGAAGCTTATTTGTTGAACCTTGTGAATGCTCTAATGCCAAAATTTAACATCCGATCTTTGTGAAATTTATATGCAATATTTAAATAAGGGAAACGAAGAAGCCTATTGAATTTCAGCAATTTCCGTTTATTACTTCTAGAGTTATGGCCCTTGTTTCACTTTGTTTAACCTTGTGAACGCTCTAACCCCAAAAGTTATCCTTTCTTTCTGAAATTTATATGCATTATTTAAATTAGTGAATCGAAGAAGCCTATTGAATTTCAGCAATTTCTGTTTATTACTTCTAGAGTTATGGCCCTTATTTCACTTGAATTTCAGCAATTTCCGTGTATTACTTCTAGAGTTATGGCCCTTGTTTCACTTCGTTTTACCTTGTGAACGCTCTAACCCCTAAAGTTATCATCCTATCTTTCTGAAATTTATATGCATTATTTAAATTAGTGAAACGAAGAAGCCTATTTAATTTCAATAATTTCCGTTTATAACGTCTAGAGTTATGGCCCTTGTTTCACTTTGTTGAACCTTGTGAAATTTATATGCATTATTTAGATAAGTGAGACGAAGAAGCTTATTGAATTTCAGCAATTTCTGTTTATAACGTCTAGAGTTATGGCCCTTGTTTCACTTTATTGAACTTTGTGAATGCTCTAACATCAAAAGTTATCTGCCGATCTGTATGAAATTTACATGTGTCATTTAAATTAGTAAAGAGAAGAATCCAATTGAATTTCAGCAATTTCCCTTGATTACTTCTAGAGTTATTGCCCTTGTTTCACTTTGTTGAACCTTGTTAATGCTCAATTGATGAAAGTTATCATCCGATATGTATGAAATTTATATGCATCATTTAAATTTCTGAAACGAAAAAGCCTGTGAAATTTCAACAATTTCTGTAGATTACTTCCAGAGTTGAGACCCTTGTTTCAATTTGTAGAACCTTGTGAACCCTCAAACGGCAAAAATTATAATCTGATCTGTATGGAACTATCTTGTTCAACCTTGTTAATCCTCGATTGATGAAAGTTATCATCCGATATGTATGAAATTTATATGCATCATTTAATATGTGAAACGAAAAAGCCTATCAAATTTCAACAATTTCTGTAGATTACTTCCAGAGTTGAGACCCTTGTTTCAATTTGTAGAACCTTGTGAACCCTCAAACAGCAAAAGTTATAATAAGATCTGTATGGAACTGTCTTGTAAAGGCCCCCAATTACCTACAAAGGAATAAATATGCGACAACCCTTGTCGACCGCTCGGACGATTTAGCCGCTGTGGGCGTATCTTTCGTTGCCTGGCAACCTATCTTATAACATGTGTAAAATGCTGATGTGGAAATCTGTTTATCATTTTCATTGTTACGGGAAGTGACGTCAGTTCAAGAGTAACGTGGCACCGGTGAAACCCATCATCACTGCATTGAAGTTCTAGTTACAATTTTTATTTTATTTATTATTGTTATGTTAACACATTTCTTCATCATTTTACGCATGCTTGATGTTGTTAAAAGGGCAAAATGTAAGAAAGGCCCTGACGTTTTTTCTACCTTTTTGAAATACGATTATTATTATTATTATTATTATTATTATATTCTTCAAAATATAGAGACATTGGTCTGGTTTAAAGAGTCAACTGATGTTGACATTACTATAAGATCACCATGAAATCCTCTTAATTCATGGACTTCTCCATCTTTGGCATGCTATTATTATTGAGCTTCAAATGACTAAGCCTTTTTTACTTCCAGAGAACAGAAAAAGAGCAAAAAGAATTTAATCATATGTGGACTGCATTGGGTGCAGATGGTCCAGGTATTCACACTAAGACTAAACAACAATAAATTTAACTGGCAAAGAAAATATTAGTATTTGAATAATACAACAAGATTTTATAGAAGTATTGTTTTTTATACACACTCCTTGCAAAATATCAACCCTGTCCGATGTCCATGGATCAACAATTCCTAGTCTAAACTTATTATTGGGCCTTTCTAGCCCATTGGACCATACTTTTTCGACTTGAATCCATAATGGATTTTAACAATATTTCTTAGGTAAATATGTTGCCAGGGTGGTATTTATTCACAGGAAGTTAGTACCCTACTATAAAGGATGTACAGGGGTGTCTGTAAGGAGTAAATTTGTTTTGCATTATTCCTTATCGAATGTGTTACAATATCGTTTGTATATGTTATTGTTTGCGTAAATAATGGCTATTTGCTAAAATGAAAATGAAAATAGTTTCAGCAGCCACTCAAAGGAATTTCCATGATTCACCGCTTAGCGGTAGTGACCTCTAAATAAAATCTCAGTATTAGTTGGTGCTGCTAGACAAGATGGCAACTCCTCGTATGCAAGTAGTGTAAAAGTATGTAATACCAAGGTTGTGGACCCTCTAGAGGTCACAGTTTTTATACGCCGACATTGAAATGTGGTCGTATATTGTCGTCGCCCCCGTCCGGCGGTCCGGCGTCCACAATTGCTTGTGGACGCTCTAGAGGCTAAAGTTAATATCCGATTGACTTTAAATATATACTATTCAAAAAAAGTAGGGGATATTTGATTTTGGGGGCATAATACTAAAATATGCAAATGACTACGAAAAAAGTCACTATAGAACCTAACAGAAGAAACATTTCCAGTTACATGTGACGCCCAAACGCACCAATAGCTACCGCATGGAATGCATGTGATGCTTGGGATCATCATGGGGGTCCAACCCAAGATTTGCACGACTCTGACTTTGAATGTTACAGTCATTGTGGCATTGAATTCCAGGGTGGAAACATCAGTTTAATTGTTTTAGTGACCAGAAAACAAATTTTGATATGCGTCGGCTTACCCAAAATGAAAGGTAACGTGCCCTTGGCATGCTACAGATCGGCACAACACAGGCGGTTGTGGCGCGGACGGTGAATGTTTCTCAGTCTGTCATAAGCAGGCTATGGTCCAGATACCGTGATACACAATCTGTACAGGACAGTCCACGCTCAGGTCGACCAAGGGCGACAACTCAAGCCCAGGATCGATTTATCCGTACCTTGGCCTTGAGAAATCGTGTCATCACAGCAAATCAGATCAGCGCTCGTCTTCAAACAGACACTGGTGTGAGAGTGAGTGGCCAGACGATTCGGAATCAACTGCATAGGGGTCACCTTCGCGCCCGACGTCCTCGCGTGATCCCTTGTTTGAGAGATCATCACATTCAGGCAAGACGTCGTTGGTGTAGGGATCGTCAACACTGGGATAATCGACGCTGGAGCAATGTGATGTTTTCAGATGAGTCAAGGTTCACTGTTGATTTTTTGGACAGACGTAGGAGGGTGTGGCGTCGTCGAAACGAGCGCTTCCAAGACGTTAACGTCATCAGACATGATCGATTTGGGGGTGCTTCTGTTATGGTGTGGGGAGGCATCACTGTTGCTGGAAGAACAGCTTTACATGTTGTTGCAGGGCGTGTTACAGGCCAGTACTATCGGGACAACATCTTGGCAGTCCATGTTGTGCCGTTCGCACGACGTCATGGCCGCCGTTTCATCTTCCAGGATGACAACGCAAGATGTCACAGGGCCAGGATCGTTACAGGTTACCTCCAACAACAGAACATCACCACATTACCTTGGCCAGCACTGAGTCCCGACCTCTCCCCCATCGAGCATGTCTGGGACATGCTTGGACAGAGGTTACGTCAACGTCAACAACGTCCTGCCAATGTCCAAGAACTTGCTGCGGCATTGCAACAGGAATGGGACAATCTGGACCAAAATGACCTTAGACGTCTCATTAGGAGTATGCCACGTCGGATCAATGCTTGTTTGGCAAACAGAGGAAGATTTACCCGTTACTGACTTGGTTGTGATGCTGTGGTAACTTTGCTGTTTGACCCCGGGTATCATTTTACCCTTATAATGGTCAGTCTGTGCCTTACTTAGTCTAACGATCATTTGGAATAAATCGATGAATGTGAACTTCATTTCATTTTGTCATTTGTTTCTTCGTCAGTTTCATTAGGTGACTTTAATAACACTTAAAAATCAAATATCCCCTACTTTTTTTGAATAGTATATATACAGTGTTTAAGGCCATGAAACGAAGAAGCCTATTGATTTTCAGCGATTTCCAAAAATTACTGCCAGAGTTATGGCCCTTGATCACTTCAAAAAATCTTGTAGACGCTCTAGAGGCTAAAGTTAATATCCGATTGACTTTAAATTTATACACAGTGTTTAAGGTCATGAGACGAAGAAGCCTATTGATTTTCAGCGATTTCCAATAATTACTGCCAGAGTTATGGCCTTTGATCACTTTAATAAATCTTGTAGAGGCTCTACAGGCCAAAGTTAATATCCGATTGACTTGAAATTTATACACAGTGTTTAAGGTCATGAGACGAAGAAGCTTAATGATTTTCAGCGATTTCCGATAATAACTGCCAGAGTTATGGCCCTTGATCACTTAAATAAACTTGTGGACGCTCTACAGGTCAAAGTTAATATCCGATTGACTTTAAATTTATACACAGTGTTTAAGGTCATGAGACAAAGAAGTCTATTCATTTTCAGCGATTTTCGATAATTACTGCCAGAGTTATGGCCCTTGATCACTTCAAAAAAATCTTGTGGACGCTCTAAAGGCCAAAGTTAATATCTGATTGACTTTAAATTTATACACAGTGTTGAAGGTCATGAGACGAAGAAGCTTATTGATTTTCATCGATTTCAGATAATTACTGCCAGAGTTATGGCCCTTGATCACTTTGAAAAATCTTGTGGTCGCTCTAGAGGCTAAAGTCAATATCCGATTGACTTTAAATTTATACACAGTGTTTAAGGTCATGAGACGAAGAAGTCTATTCATTTTCAGTGATTTTTTATAATTACTGGCAGAGTTATGGCCCTTGATCACTTCAAAAAAATCTTGTGGATGCTCTAGAGGCCAAAGTTTATATCTGATTGACTTCAAATTTATACACAGTGCTTAAGGTCATGAGACGAAGTAGCCTATTGATTTTCAGCAATTTACGATAAGTACTGCCAGAGTTATGGCCCTTGATCACTTTGAAAAATCTTTTGGACACTCTAAAGGCTAAAGTTAATATCCGATTGACTTTAAATTTATACACATTGTTTAGGGTCATGAGATGAAGTCTATTCATTTTCAGTGATTTTCGATATTTACTGCCAGAGTTATGGCCCTTGATCACTTTGAAAAATCTTGTGGACGCTCTAGAGGCCAAAGTCAATATCCGGTTGACTTTAAATTTATACACAGTGTTTAAGGTCATGAGACAAAGAAGTCTATTCATTTTCAGTGATTTTCGATAATTACTGTCACAGTTATGGCCCTTGATCACTTTGAAAAATCTTGTGACGCTCTAGAGGCTAAAGTTATCATCCGATTGACTTCAGATTGATACACAGAGTTTAAGAGCTTGAGACGAACAAGTATATTGATTTTCAATGAATTTTTATGACTTGAACAGCTAAATCCATGATATTAAAAACCAAACAAATTCTAATGGTTTTCTGATAATTACTTCATGAGTGTATTATAAATGTTTCATTACCGAAAGAAGTAAAAATATGCGACAACACTTGTTGACTGCCTGGACGATTTAGCTGCTGTGGGTGTATGTTTCGTTGCCTGGCAACCTATCTTTATCAGATTTTGATGAAACTTAAAGTATATGTTTATGTCAAACAGATCTTGGTTCCTGTCAATATTATGACCCCTGATTGTACAAAAAAATCGCATTTTTTATTAGATTAGAGTTAAACAATTTTTATCTGATTTAAAAAAACTGTTGAATAAATCAATGTTACACCATAAAGAAAGTTCAAATTACGTGAAAATTAGAGTTAAACAATTTTTATCTGATTTAAAAAAACTGTTGAATAAATCAATGTTAGACCATAAAGAAAGTTGAGTTCAAATTGCGTGAAAATTGGACTGAAACTGCCTGACAAAATGGCCGCTCCCTGTACAAAAATAGTGTAAAAGTATGTAACAAAGGTTGAGGTCACAATTTTTATCTGATTATGAAGAAACTTTAAATACATGTTTATATCGCAAAGATCTTGGTTCCTTTCGATATTAGCCGAATGGAATTGTAACTATACTGAGCGCCATGGAAAATGCATCACTTAGTTTTTCGTATAACAAAATGATCCTGTAAACATATCTTCTTTATTTTGCTTCTTATTGTGAACAAATTCAAATGGGAACACATCAATAACAACACATTTGTACACTTATGGATGTTTAATCTGTAATCAACGGTACAAAGTCAGAGGGGTCAAAACCAAAAGTACGACACAGATGTCAGTAGCGCGCGTGTCCTCCACTGGCTCTTACGCACGCTCTGCTGCGACGTCGCTTGGAATTTACCAATGTTTGAAAGAAGGCCTGGGGAAAATTGTTCCATTCATGGACAAGAGCAGCTTCTAAAGCAGCAATGGTGTGCATCTGTGGTCTCCGATACAGACGGCGTCAAATCTCATCCCAGACATGTTCTATCGGTTCCATGTCCGGAGAGCTGGCTGGCCAGTCCAAGACATTGATGTTGTTAGCAGCCAGGTAGTCCATACTAAAACGGGCGGTATGCGGACGTGCATTATCCTGTTGGAAGTGCTGAAGTTGTGGGTGCGCTCGAAACATCGGAACAACAATTGGTTGCAAGACATCATCACGGTAGGCTACAGCATTAACGCGACCCCTGCAAATGTGTAGGGCGGTCCGGTGATGAAATGTGAAGCCTCCCCACACCATTACACTTCCCCCACCCCATCGTTTTGTTTCGAAGACGCAGCAGT